GGGGGAGCGGTGGGGAGGGACAGTAGTGTCTCATTGAATTCAACTTACCTTCCATAAATATTTTTTGAAATGACACTCACCACATAGTTATTTTTTCCCCTGATTTTACTGGAAAAGAAAATTTAGAATTTTCTAAAATTTTATCATTATGTATGCTATTTGCTGTGAGTTCCATATTGACATTCTTTATCATGTTAAGGAAGCATCCTTATATTTCTGCTCTTTAAAGAGTTCTTTAAAAAAAAAAAAAAAGAAATTAGTGTCAGACTTAACAAATGCTGAAGTTGTAGCTCAGTGGTAGAACAATCGTCCAGCATTTATAGGGCCCTTGGATTCAGTCCTAGCACTACACAAAGGAAAAAGGAAAAGGAAAAAAGATTCCAAGTAAGTTAAAAATAAAATCATGTATTACAGCTTCAAGGATCATATATTTTTATAAAAAAGAATAAAGTTTTAAAATAAGGAATAAACAAAGCTATATCAGGTAAATGTAAAAAAACAAGGAAAATTCAAAGTAACAATGATTCATCAATGTTGTAATTATACTTACATGGTTATTATTGTCTATGATAAGTATTCTTGTCATTTATTTCATCTTTTCTCTTATTTATGTAGGGGATATGTTTGTTGATGTTATCGATTCTATTAACTATTTCTTATTTTTTCTTTTGCAGTTATACTATGTTTTATTCCTTGCCCCCACCCCTAGCATTGATTTGGAAAACAGATATCTTTTAAAATGTTACTAGTTGTTTAAAGATTTTAATCTTGCTTTTTAAAAACCAGGATGTGGGTGAATGTACAGATAGTGCATATGTGGATCCTCAGCTAAGAATTGCTTCCTTCTCACAGAACTGCAACATTCATTCAGGTAAGAGATAACACATGTTGCCACGCAATAATGAAATAGTGGCCCTGGACAACTGGCTGAGTCTTTTCATATAGACCATACTTTTGTTCTCACGACATCATGCAGAAGTCTCTGTAGCCTATGGGCCTTTCTGAGACGTTCTCATCCCTCCCCTGCCCAGGGTGCTGCACCTGCTGCAGCTGAGACTGTCCTGCAAGTGGCCAGAAGGGAATGTGATGAGAGAAGGGAAAGTTTCTGCTTTCTGGGCAAAACTGGCCTGCAGGTACCATGCCAGCTGGTCTTGCTTATGTACAAGTCAGTTCTAAAATCTGGTGTTGTAAATTCAAGATTACTGTCTTGTTTTAACCACTCAGGATAAAATCCTTCTAACTAAAGTTGTGATTCTTTTTGTATGTTATAATGGAGAAAAGAGAGATAGTGGAAAGAAATACTAGGTTGACCATAAACTCACACTATCTTATATTTATCTTATATTCCTTATATTTGGGAAATAGTTGTATACATTCCATGATGAAAAGCATTCCCGAAGCTTCCTGTTCATCAGAGCCACAAGACTTAAAATTTTCCCATTGGAGAGTCACCCCTATAAATTAGACATTGGTTTTTATAGTTTCCATCAAATATGCAAAAAATCAGGAAAAGTGTAGCATACCGATTGAGTCACTGACACCCTCCAGTTGCATATGTTTACCTAAACACACTGGGCTCTGAGGAGGGGAACAAAGAGGTAGGAAAATGAAGGTCATACTGAAAATATTCCCTGACTCATCCCTGAACCCGAGCTACCATGTGGCCCTCTATAAATTAGGATGCTAGATCTCATGTGGGAGAAGTACTAGGCTAGGCTGCTTCTCCAGTGCACAGGGTAACTTAAAGTCTCATTCTTTCAGGGAAGGATCTTGTAAAACCACATCCCAAGATTTGTCCCGGCTGCCCCTTCGAAATACCTCTCGACAGCCCTGACCTGGCAGAAGCACTTACTCATTCCATTACAAAGCTTAATGCAGAAAATAACGAAACTTTCTACTTCAAGATTGACACTGTGAAAAGCGCTTCAGCACAGGTCTGTAAATTATGCTTAAAAATGGGGATGTTATAGTCTGTGCAAATTGCTTGCTGTTTTTACCACTGATCTTGGCTCTGGATTGGGAAACAGTTTATTTAATAATGGAATATGGTAAGATTTGAATTGTGAACCCAACTTCTCTGCATGTTTCATGTGTGATTTTAGGTCTCTTAAAACATTCTGTTTATTGGGCTGGGGTTGTGGCTCAGCGGTAGAATGCTTGCCTAGCATGAGTGAGGCCCTGGGTTCGATCCTCAGCACCACATATAAATAAAAAAATATATATATATTGTGTCCAACTAAAAAATAAAAAAAAATTCTGTTTACTATGTATAAATGACTAGGGTAAAGATAGGATAATGTATGTCAAATCACTTTTCAAATTCTAACATGCTGTCCAAATACCAGCAACTATATTATAATTAATGAAACTCAGGATTTTTATTCTATGGCTTTCCATAGAATTATAGAACACAGTGCCTTGGGCTCAGCCATATCAGTCAATCGGTCTTTGACTGGTCCATCCACGCTGTCTTACCTCCATGTTGTTTCTCTCACTGCCCCCTCTGCCTGAGGTGCCCTTCCCACTTACAGGTGCACAGTTGGGTTCATCTCCAATTTCATGGCTTGTCAGTAGAGGATAAGGGTTGTCCTCATCTGGAGTCAAAAGACAGCTGTATCACAGCATCTGCCATTGACATCCTGGATGACTCCGGGGTAATTCAAATAATCTTTGTGGCCCCATCTGTGAAATGAGTAGCTGGATTAGAAAAGCCCAAATCCCTACCAGCTCCAACAGTCTATGCCTGTCATGTGCATGGACAGATTCCTATTGCAGACTCAAAGCTGGCTTGCCTAACTACAAGCTAAAGAAAAGTAATCAAACTAGAATCAAGTTGTTGCAGCCAGGCAACATGATCTTCATAGTCCGGTGAGGAAATTCTCACTTAAAAGCTCATACTTTGGGCTCAAATTGAATTTCTAGAAATATAAAATAGAAATCTTTATATACAATGGTATTTACTGAAGTTTTAATTCTAAGATCAAATAATGGTAAGCTGCCCAAATGACCAATAATACAAAAATGATTACACAATGCCTGGTATATTCCTGCAATGGAGCATTAAACAGCAATGGGGGCAGGGGCAGAAGTGGAGGTTTCTTGGCAGCAGGGATTGAACCCAGGGGAGCTTAACCATGTGGCTGAGAGTGAGCCAGGGTATCACTAAATTCTTAGGGCCTCACTGAATTGCTGAGGGTGGCTCTTAACTCGAAATCCTCCTGCTTCAGCCTCCCAAACTGGAGTTACAGGCATGAGCCACATCATCCAGGATTGAGCAGCAATTTAAAAGTGTCTTTGTGATGAGTGCTTGATGTAGACAATGTCTTATGAAAAAAAGGCCATAAAGTTGAATATACATTGTTCTCAATTATGTTATAAAAAACCATAGAAAGCAATACTGAGGAGACATGCTTCAGGCTGTTTGTTAGTGGTGGCGGGGCTGGGGTTGTGGCTCAGTGGGAGAGTATTTGCCTCGCACGTGTGAAGCACTGAGTTCAATCCTCGGCACCACATAAAATAAATAAATAAAATAAAATAAAGGTATTGTGTCCATCCACAACTAAAAAAACATATATTAAAATAAAAACAGTGGTGGGGTTTTGGCGAGGGCATAATGGGCTATTTATTTTAACTTTCTAATTTCTTATGTTAGTTTTTTAATCTAAATAAGTAACCAGACTTTATTAACATAATCATAACTGACACTTAGATCTATGACTCAGGTGCTCTACCACCCACTCTGCGACCTCGCCGCCATGTAACACCCCTGTGCTTACTTGAAGAGATGCTCATTCATGCTACAAACTCTTGAACTTTACATGTTCACTCTTGGGTGAAATCTTCTTCTGTGGTTGTTTTTTTTTTTTTTTGTACCATGGATTGAACCCAGGGGTGTTTAACCACTGAGCCACTGAGCCACATCCCTTGACCCTTTATATTTTTATTCTGAGACAGGATCTCACTAAGTTGCATAGGGCCTCACTAAGTTGCTGAGGATGGCTTTGAGCTCAAGATCCTCCTGCCTCAACCTCCTGAGCCGATGGGAAAATTGGTGTGCACCACCATACCCCTTTAAATCTCCTTATTCTTACTGTCACAGGAGTCATCTGCCATATATTATATGTTAGAGGTTTGCTGTCAAGAGAGAATGACTCATTCTCAAACATGAATATCTCATGCCTGAGGAGTTACAGTTCTCTCTGTAGATTAACTTAACATTCTGGTATGAGTGTCTGTTTACACTAAGGATACCAGGGGCACCCCAGGCAGTAATGCGGTGAACCAAAAGGAGTCACATGCCCCTTCAGTTAGTTGTCAAATCAATCTGAATACACAGGAAAAATTTCAGACCCCCTTGTAACAGATGAATCTGCACTGATTTTTTTACATTTCAAAAGAGCAATTTGACTGCTTACACGTGGTCACTTAAGGCAGCCTTAGTGCTGGAAATAAATTAACATTTGAGGATTTGCTGAAAACTGTTCACCAAGTGACCAATTTGACAAGTTGCTGGGGATATGTTTTGTAGTTTTAGTTTTGTCTTGGCTTTGCATGTTTAGTCCTGTTTGGATGCACATCCATTCCAAATCGGATTGATATTTCAGATACCAAACACTTTGTGAATCTTCTATTTTCACATTACTGAGTGAAATTTCTGACCCGTATGTCTACTTTGCCCTGCCCCCTTTCCTGCTGGCCTGAGGCTGTGGGTGCTCTGCCAGATGAATAAATGTCAGAAATCTGTGTCTGATTCTTTGAGGGTTTTTCCTAGGAATATCAAGGAATATGTATATACTGAGATTGTTTGAGCAAGTTGTCAAATCACCAAACTACTTGCAAGTATGACAATTTACATTCACACAACCTGGGTATAAAACAATGGTTAGGGATCTTGATTTTAATTCTATTCTTATCAGCAGTGATTGGGGCTGCCTGTTTCCCACACCTAACACACACCAGGTATCATCAATGTTTTTATCCTTGTGAACACAAGAGATTAAAATTGATGTTGCACTGCTTTTCAAATGTGCATGTTACTGGTCATCAATAAAATTAAATTTTTTTCAGGCTTAATAAGCATTTTAACTTTTTATGTGAAATACCTGCTCAAGTCCTTTGTTCATTTTTTTTAGAATTGGGATTTATATGTATACAAATATCATCTAACGTAATTTTCCTACTTTGTTTTTTTGCATTGCTTGTTGGGATTTATGAGACTCTGTTTTTATTTTTGTCTCATCAAATTTAAACAGTTCCCCCTTACTTTAGGAATATTTATTCTATTTTTCACCGACAAAGATCTTTCTCATTCTGAGTTCTAATGAGTATATATTTATAATATTCTAGTTATTTTCTTTAAGTTTTTAAATTTACTTGGGATTCATGTTGCTATTTGGTTTTCTCTACTTAAAAAAAATAGTTGGGCAGGATGAGTTTAATCTGGAAAGACTTTTGATAAAAATGATACCTGATAATGATGGTGAAGTGATTCTGATTTTGACGCCCTAGAATGGAAGATAGTACTAACTTAACCATACTTGCCCAATAAAACTATGGCAGAAAATATAGAGGAGTTTAGTTCTTCCTATGACTGTGCTCTGTAAACCTCCATCTATCATCACACATTTCTCCATGCTTTTAAACAGCATAAAGAGATAAAGAAGGCTTGTAGTGTGCTTTTACAAATGTAAGATTACACTACCCCTCTGTAACTTCCTTTTTTTTTTTTTTAAATAATGACTCTCCCTCAAGGTCAACAGATACAGATGCCTTGCATTCTTTTTAAATGCTGCATAATATTACACACACATACTACATTTAAAACACTTAAAATCTATAATTAAATACTAAATAATTTGGTCAAGAAATTTGGCTATAAAATGCTTAATGGAAAAGAGTATTATGGGGGCTGGGGTTGTGGCTCAGTGGTAGAGTACAAGACTTGCAAATGTGACACACTGGGTTTGATCCTCAACACCACATTAAAAATAAATAAATAAAGGTATTGTGTCCATCTACAACTAAAAAAAATTATTTTAAAAAAATAGAAAAGAGCATTATGCAGTGCTTAAAATTGTTGTTAGAGATGGAAATCCTAATTTTAAACAACTGTGAGAAGCCAGCATGATGGCATACACCTGTAATCTCAGCTACTAGGGAGACTGAGGTAGGAGGATTGCAAATTCAAGGTCAGGGTCACAACTTAGCCAGACCTTGTCTCAAAATTAAAAATTAAAATTAAAATAGAAAATTAAAAGAGCTTGTGATTGAGGCCCTGATACTGGTTGAAATCCCAGTACCTGAAGAAAAAAGAGAGAGAGAGAGAGAGAGAGAGAGATTTCAAATATTTTTTAACTAATTTCATAATTTAATCCACATAATTTCTATAGTGCTAACTCAGCATTCCATTGATTCAAGATTTGGCAGGGGAAAAAAACTTGAAGGACAACAAGTAATGTTTGATTAAAATAGAATTATAACCTGCTTACCTCCATTTAGAAAAGGAAATGGAACAGCCAAATATTTTAAAAAATATTTTTAGTTGTAGATGGACACAATATTTTATTTTTATATGGTGCTGAGAATCAATCCCAGTGTCTCACACATGCCAGGCAAGCACTCTACCACTGAGCCACAACCCCAGCCCACCAAATACTTTTAATATGCATACAAACTAAAACTTTTATTATGAAATGTTTGTACTTTTTTCGGTACAACTCTTCAAGTTGGTCAATATGTAATTAAAATTTCAAGGTCCTCTCTTAAAATTCCTTAGGGTAAAAAATATAATTTATTTTACAAATATTTATTAAGCATGAATTTGGGGCTAATTACTTTTCCAGGTGGTGGCTGGGAAGAAATTTTTTATTGAGTTCACAGCCAGGGAAACCACATGCTCCAAGGAAGATAATACAGAGTTGACTGAAAGTTGTGAGATCAAAAATCCTGGTGTGAGTAGTAATGATTTTTCACTACTTGATATTTTAAGTAGCCGTTATTTAAATGTCTTATGAATAACACTTGTCTCTCTTTGGGCTTCTGTTTTCATTAACAGCAAAGTCTAAGCTGCAATGCTGAAGTTTATATGAGACCTTGGGAGCAAAAAGTTTACCCTACCATCAATTGTCAAGTGCTAGAAATGGTATGATTCTGATTGCCATCCATCATCTGCATTAGCTCAGGATCAATTCTGCTCATTCTGAAAAGCCATATTGGGGGTGGAAAATGAACCATTACTGAAATGAACTGGGGGACTATCTTTTTTAAATAGTTCGGAGAAATCTCACATTTCTTATGACTAGAAAAAAAGAGCAGCAATCCCCTTGATCACTTCACACACACTGTTAGCACCCCCTGGAAGCTTTTGTGAGCTGGTAATGAGATGCAGTCCCTGCTGTGAGGCGCTAATACTGGATACTCACCCCAGTAGAACCTGGGGCAGATGCAGCACTGGGCTATGTTCTGTTTTCATCCAAGGAGCTTTGAGATGCAGACTCTCACACTCATTCCATATTTACTGAATCAGAACCTGTAATTGAACAAGACACTCCCCACCAAGGGATTTATACACATGATTCAAATCTGAAAAACATTTGTTTGCATCATCATCTTAAGTCTTAAAAGAACTCTGGGAAGTAAGTAGCGCTTTTCCCACTGTTAACGATGAGACTTTAAAAATTAGAAGACTGAGGTCCCAAAGTGACATTTTAAGTGCTTCCTCTGTTCCTGAATTTTCACACACATTATCCATTAGTGTTCCTATAACCTTTGGAGGCAGTTACTTTTATTATTCTGTTTTTGCCGAAAAGTGAAGCTAGTGGCACTTGGAATCAAGTGTGGGTCAAATCAGAGCCCAAGCCCATATTATGCAGCTGATTACTAGAGGGTCTGGCTTGATTCCAAAGCTCATCTCTTTTACTACCAAACACTGCCTTCAACCATCACTTTCTCACAGGTAGTAAAAGTCTAGGTAGAAATAGCCTGTAAATCCATATCTTTCATCACAAGTTGCCTCTTTCCCCTGTTCTGAGGCAGGTTCCTGTCATACGTGTGTATATGTATAATCTAACACAACAGACACTGCATTACAAGCTTGTGAACATATCCTAATGTGTCTCAGTCCAATAAAGTGGCTGTGGGTATATGCTCCCTAATATACCTAGTTTATAAAGACACTTAGGGCCTTTTAAGATAAAAGCAGTAATGGTGGTAATAGAAATAGCATCAATTAATAAATACTGTGTAATGGATGTACATAATTATAAGCTTAGGAGATAACCTAGAGGTCATGTAGTTCAACCACCTGGTTTTTCCAGATGAATAAAAACCTCTCCATATTTTAGAGTATAATTAAGAATAATACTCAAATGTCCACAAATTTCAAGATCAATCAAAAGAGGAAAAGTTGTTATTCATTCTTTCTGAAAGATTAATATAGTATTTAAAATCTGATGAAGACCTGCTCCATTATGAATCAAGATAGTAATGCCAGATCTCAGTCTCTTTTTCACTGATAGTGTGGCTTTTGCAGTAATGTGTTCATTTTAATATTTCCTATTTAGACGTTATTGAAGAAAAGGCCTCCAGGTTTTTCACCTTTCCGAGAAGTACCAGGAGTAAAAAAAGGAGGAGGAACAATTGTAAGTCTACCCTACACTTCCATGGCACCTGTGCAAGATGAAGATCAGGATTCAGAAAAAGAGGAAGGACTCACTCGTGGGCATGGGTGGGGAAGTGAAAAGAAAATTAAACCTGGGCTTGGCCATGATCATAAACATGAGCATAAGCAAGGCCATGGGCACAAAAGGGGACATGGGGTTGGCCATGATCCTCCAAAGCAAAATGCCCTTGGCCATGGTCAACAACAACAGCATGGCCTTGATCATGGATATCAACCCAAACTTGACTTTGATCTTGAACATAGCCTTGACCATGGACATCAAATAGGACATGACCTAGCCCATGGACATAAACATAAGCTTAAGCATGGTCATGGTCATGAAAAACATAAAAACAAAGACAAAAACAATGGAAAGCTCAATGACCAGAGACCAGAGCATTTGGCAAGCTTTCCTCAAGTTAGTACTACATCTTCTACACAGACAGAGGAGAAGACGGAAGGGCCAATGCCCATCCATTCCCTAACCCAGCCAGGTATAGCAGTTACCTTTTCTGACTTTCAGGACTCAGATCTCCTTGAAGCAGTGACACCTCCCATGCCACCAACTCCCACAGAGAATTATGATGATTTGATCCCTGATATCCAAATAAAACCAAATAGCTTTTTATTTGAACTAATACCTGATTTTCCAGAAACAAACTCCCCCAAATGTCCTGGACGTCCCTGGAAGCCAATTAATGGAAATAATCCAGTCATGGAAATGAAAGAATTTCATGATTTTGATCTCTCTGATGCTGTTTGATAATTTATGCAGCCATGGGTATTTTTTTTAACACCTCATCATCCCCTCCCTGCATTGTCCAAATACAAATATCCTAATATGAGGCACCAAAACCCATAAAGCTTCAAAACAGCCTAGAGAGAAGTAGTGAGCCTCTCAATGGAGACACCATCAGTCTCGAAGAATTGTACAAAACTGTGTACCAGAGTTCTAAATCCTTTTTGAGTCTTCCTCACAAGTTTTCTAAATTGGCAAAGAAAATGGACCAATGTGCCTTATTACCTACTGCCATTTACTTTTCATGAATGCATACCTCAAATGTACTTTATCAATTTTCATACTAAAACTTGCCATTCTCAGCAAACTGATACCTGGTCCCTGAGTGTGTATGAAAATAAGGAAAGTCTAAGAGACTGAATGCTGAACTTTTTAATGGTGTAAAATTAAGTTAAACTAGATGCAGTAGATTACAAATCTGTAATCCCAGTGGCTTGGGAGGCTGAGACAGGAGGATCACAAGTTCAAAGCCAGCCTCAGCAACTTAGTAAGGCCCTAAGCAACTCAGCATGACCCTGTCTCAAGATAAAGTATAAAAAAGGGTTGGGGATGTGACTCAGTGGTAAAGCTCCCCCGGGTTCAATCCCTGGTACCAAAAAAATAAAAATTAAAAATAAAATTAAGGTAAAACTTCTAGATATCAAACAGGGATGGCAAGAAAGAAGAGACAGGTTAGCCAAAGGGAAGGAAAGGGAAAATTAAATAAATTGACTTTCTCTTTCCACATTGTGTTAGTTCTATCAGATACAGACTCCCACTTGATCAAGTTATTCTGATAATTCCTTTTCTGGGTGCAGGTGTTTCTCATAAGTCAATCATTTCTGTTTACACATTAACTATTACTTGCAACAGAGTTTAAGTAGTTTTGTTTATTTTTTTCTAAGGTTAAATTGAGTAATCTTTAGTTTTCAAAAGTTCTGAGTTTGATAAAGATATAAAGCAGAGGAAATAATATCAAAGCAGTTTACCAAGCAAACTTTATTTTTATAATTGACAAGGGAATATCATAGAATGTGATGCAAACTTTGTTCAGAAATTTTGAGGAAATTCCTCTTTAGCCTCACTTTAAAATAATATAATCTTTGTGCTATGATATTGAAAACTATTGACATTTGAAAAAGAGAATATGGTGGCCTTTCATTGTATATGATGGCTTTTCATTGCAGGAAGCCTTACATTTTATAACCTGTGCTGTACTTTTGCCTACAGAAACAAGATAAGGCTTTAAACAGCTACACTTGCCTATGAACACATGTGCTGCTGCTATTAAAATTTATTGAGCTCTGGATTTTTATTTCATTTTGAATATTGTTTGTGCTTTGAAATAAAGAACCAATGATACCAGGAAAAAGTTTCACCTTGTCAACTGACTGCTTCCAATTTTTTAAAAAATTGAACCAAATATCAGATTAACCAAGTTTTACTATACTTACAGAGGCACCTAATGTCCTGCGAGTACATGGGCCGACCCCCAAAGACAGGGACAGAGCCAAAACCTGAGAGTGAGGTCTCTTGACCAGTGGGCAGAATCTTCACGCCTGGCACAATAGCCCCAACCACCTCTGTCAGCAGCTTTGAGTGGAAGGACAAGAAGAAACATGAGATAAATTTTAAATATAGAAGAATGCTATGTTATCATTCTGTTCCTGGGAGAAATAAAATTCAGAGTTGATTAATTGACAGTGGTTTCCTTTCAGCTATACCCATTCTATAGCAAATTCCAGCTGGTCACCAGTGCTGCAGCTCTGCCATGGGAGCTCGCAATCCAATTCTGGAACATTCTCTCTAACCAAGCCGAGAATCCTTAAATGGAACCTCCTTACCACCAAGACTATCATGGGACTTAAGTGAAGGTTTAGTGGGTTGTGTTTCTACCAATAATCTTAGCGCTCTCTCTCTCTCTCTCTCTCTCTCTCTCTCTCTCTCTCTCTGCCTTGCCTTCTTCACCCTTCTCCTGACTTCCAGGTGAAAGCTAGAAATAGATTTGTTTACTATTTTTATAATTTGGACAGTTAGCAAAAGATAAAAAAAACTTTTGTATTCATATGAAGTCTATCATCTTCTCATTATAACCTCCAAAAAGTTTAAATAAAATTTGAAATTATATTTCTGAGCCAGATAAAGGAGAAAATAGAAAAAAAACAACAAAGTAAAACATGATAGAGATTTTATATTTTCTTTAATGAAAACATTTACTGAATACCTAGTATAGTCTTCCACTGTGGTTGACCATATACTTTTGTTGTGTAACTTAATCTTTGTAACTCACCCTGAGGCCCGATGGTCATCTGTCTTTCATAATAAGGAAATTGCAGTTGTTTGCTGTATCCTTCCCAGGGTCACACAGTTAATAAATGTCTGAGATGGCACTCAAACTCAGACCTTTTGGATTCCATTATGCCATGTCATCCTGGGGCTTTATTATCAATGTTATCATTATAAAAAAAAACACACCAAGATAATTTTCTGATTCTGAACTGCTCACTATCTCAACCCCTACCCCCCCAAAAAATTGTTATTAAATATCTCATAGCTGATGCTATAATGAGTACTGTTCAGGATAAACTCAGTAACACCACTTCCTAAGAAGAAGAAAATTAAAATTGAAAAGATATAATCCTTTCCTTCAAAGAGCTTGCAACTCTCTTGGGAAGACAAGACAAAAATTTATGATACAGAGACTTAATTCAAGCCATGATCATTTGTGGAGCAGTAAGCAGACCTGAGCAATGTGAGAAGAAGATGTCAAAGAGGTGGAGAGACAAACTTGGAAAGGCAGAATGAAGCCCATTGGGTTTACAGTAAAGTAGGCAGTAAAGTCCCTGGCATAGTTCCTGACATGCTCAAAAAGTATTTAAGACCAACTATCTAGAAGGTTCTGGGTAAAAATGAGTCAGCATAAGATGAGACTGCTCCAACTATCTCCAGACTATCACATTTTAACAGATGGACAACTTCTCAGGGATGATATATAAAGCCTCTAGTTGTCTATGCAACATGAAGTACTGTACTTCTCCTTGATGCCTTTGTTAGATAATCTAAACATGAGTTCCCTATGACCTAGCACCTAACTCTCTTGCTTTTTTAAAAATTTATTTTACAGCGCCGGGGATGGAACCTATATATGCATATATGCGTGCTAGGCAAGCATTCAACTGTTGAGCTACATCCCCAACCCCAACCTCTTCCACTTTTAAAATGTCTGCACTCTCCCCAACTCAGGAGCCAAAGGCTCACCCCAGATGTATGACCCTGGCTCTGGAACCACATAGCTTCATCTATTTATGCTTCTCTTCAGTGCAGGAATTCCCCTGGTTCAGTCCAACTCATGTTCTCTACAAAGCCTGGGCCTAACTTCTCAAGCAGAAGGCCTTTGCCAGCTTTTTACCTCACCCTTTTTTTCCTGCTAAGCCTGAAATACTTAACTCATAGGAGGACACACACCTGGGGGCTCCGTGCCAGCCTTACCCATACATCCCATCCACTGTATCTTTACCTTGTGGGAGAGGCCCCATCTCTCCAATGCTCCTCTGAGAAGGCTTGAGAGGACCCAGGGGTTACAGTGACAACCCACTCAAACCTTAGTGGTTTTTCCCTGTGGAAGTTTTGAAGATCAGAAAGCAAAATACCATCTCAATGTCTTGCAAAAAATGCTTTGGTTAAAGTATTTAAGGTTGTCCCTCCAGCCTTTACAAGAATCTCCATTTTGAACACCATTCTGTCTTTTGCAAGACTTTGATAGGAAGTATTTCTCTGTATATTCCCATTGGAAGCAGGACAGTGAGATGGTGAAGAACCAGGGCTCTGTAGTGAGACAACCCAAGTCCCAAAGCTGGCAATTTAATTACCTTTTCAAAGCCCAAGTTTCCTCATCAAAAATATTAGGTTAATAATATACTCACCTCCTAGGCATGTTATAATGATTAAAAAGGAGAAATTCTTATAATTGTCATAATGCTTAGCACATGATAAACCCCCTGGGAAATATTTTGTCAGAAAAGGAGATGAGTGTGACACAGCATATGTCCCTTTGTGCCTTTGCAGGTAAACTCAGGATTCAAATATTGTCGTCAACTCATAACAAGTGGTTGGAAATATTTTCTCCCTCACTTCCACTTCCTTAGAATAACCCAGGAAGCTCCAGGGATTGTCTGTGTTCAAAGCTCTGGGAATAGTCCTGGATATCAGTATTTTTGAACTATTGCTCACTTAGTTCTAATGAATCCAGGTGTGAAGCTAATGGTTTAAGCCCTCCCTATTTTCTTTAAATCTAATTATTGAGTTTTATATTGTTCTACTTGATCAGCACTTTCACATTTTGGAGGAAATAGGAAGGAAGGTTATGAAACTCATGAAAAATGGATGGAGGGCTGGGGTTGTGGCTCAGTGGCAGAGCACTTGCATCACATAAAAATAAACAAACAAAATAAAGATATTGAAAAAAATGTTTTTAAATGGATGGAAGGATGGATGGATGGGTGGGTGACTATTGTATGCATTAGGATTATCACAATAAGAATAGCAGGTATAAGATGGTTATAAATGGCATTTCAAAGATATATAATAAAAACAAACAGAAACAAAAATAAATTAATTATTGAGTCTGAAGAATGAAGGACTGTAACGAATAAATCTAAATGACAAGTTTTCTAGTGTAGGTGCCTTAAGAGAATGGTAAGACCACTAACACAATCGAGGAAACTGAGAGTTAGTTGATCTGTGCTTTCTGGTAACTCATAAAGAAACATATCAGGGCTGGGGCTGTAGCTCAGCTGGCAGAGCATTTGCTTTGCATGTGTGAGGCACTGGGTTAGATCCTCAGCACCACAAAAAAGTAAATATATAAAATAAAGGTACTGTGATTGTCTACAACTAAAAAAAATATTTAAAAGAAAGAAAGAAAGAAAGAAACATACCAACCTGCTGGGTGTGGTGGCACATGCCTACAATCCTAGGCACTTGGGAGGCTGAGTCAGGAGGATCACAAGTCCAAGGCCAGTCTGGACGCCTTAGCCAAGCCCTGGCTTAAAAAGTAAAAAGGACTGAGGAGGCAACTGAGTGGTAAAGTGCCCAGGGGTTCAATCTCCACAAAAAAAGAAAAGGAAAAGAAACACCTACCACATTTTAACAGCTGACTGAAGTCAATATGCAAATGAAATGAAAAACACTATTACTTCCCAGTTCAAATTGATCAGAGCCAAATGGACAGGGTCATTTCATTTACTTTGATATTTGTGACACTTGTCACACAAACAGGGTAGTGTCATTAGGCACTCTTGGACTAAGCTTATAGAAAATGTGGGAAATGTCAATTACATATCATATCAAAAAGAACAGAAAGTAATTATTCTTTGAAAGTCATCATAACTTCGGTTTCTACTACTGAATAAGAAATGACCCTAGCAAAGGTTTTGGTTCTAGCAACTGCCATTCTGTCTTCTCTAATGCAACAATTACAGATGGAACCATCTCTAGTGGTATTGAATATTCTCATTAGAAATGGATGGAATGGTAGTTCTTGAGGGAAAAACAGTGTCAGCTTCTTAACAAGTACTATTTACTGGCTGGGTGATATTACACTGTGCCTACTTGCCCAAGCAGGAATTAAGTTTTCAAGAAGCCCCTTTACTATCTGTTTCTAAGCTAGAATTACCCAAAGGAGAAGTGTGTGAGAAATCTGTAAGACGGTATGAAGCAGTGGCCATGGTTCTCTGAGTGTCATCAGGCAAGATGCAGGGAGAGATGGCTGACAGATCAAGGGATTGCAGCCTGTCTTCTCTTTCCTGCTTTGCAGCCGCCGCTCTCCCTGTTGCCCACCAGCCTGGCCTATTGCCATACTAGACCCACCAGGGGCAAGAGCCTTCCACAGATTTCTTTACTAGCTCCCCTGCCCAGTCCTTCTGGCAGATGGCTGTGCATGTCCAGGTTTGATTTGTCCAACATCACAATGCTTTCAGAAGACTGATTAGTAACTTCCCTCTAATCCTTTAACGTCCTTTCTCTGCGCTTCACTTTTTTAGTTCCTCCTGTCTGGGGAGAAGAGATATTGCCAGAAGAGGGTCTGGAGGAGTTCCAAGGGAGAGGGAGAAACCCAACTCAGGACCAGCAGGGTCCTTAGCTTGTGTGATGAAAAAGAATTTCTGCAAGTGTCACTCAGAGGCATAGACAGAAGTTTATTTAGGAAAGTACCTACATGTTCTAGGGAGAATGTG